TTTCTATGTTGGGTGTGGAGACTACTTAACAAAAGGGGGGGGGGTGGAGTGGGAAGAGAAGGGCCCTGACCTCAAGGGTCACACAAGGCCCTGGGCCCTCTTCTGGGCTGGGCGTGTTCACCTTGCTGATGGCCATGGCTGGACCACGCACGCCTTGGTCTCTTTTGAGGCCCCAAACTCTAGCGTGATGTCTGGCATGTGGAAGATGATGAATGAGTGAATGAATGAGTGAATGAATACCAGTTGTAACACAGCAGACCACCCTGGATTTAATCCCACTGCTGTCATTTTACTGTTGTGAATTTAAGAAACGAAGTTAGTATGATAAACCTTCTCCTCATCCGTAAAATGGGAGTTGACCCGCACCTCAGGGCTCCTGTGAAGACGAACTAAACTGTGTAAATGTGTCTGACTTAGCACCTGAGGCTGTTATGAATGGCAGTTCCCTTGCTGCCCCCATCCCTCAAGTAGAGCCAAGTGTCCAGACTGGGTGACGGGGGTGTGTGCGTTTGCACCTGGTCCAGTCCGCACCAGGGAGCCACTGCAGATCAGGCAGCAGTGGCACGAGGTGGGGAAGGGGTGTTTCAGGAGGATCTCCCAGCCAGCAGCCCCCCTCCCCCCAGGACTCCAGACCAGTTCCCTCCAAGGGCAACTGAGGTGCAAAGCTGGTCCCGTGCCTGGAATGTGAGCATCTCCGAAGCCAACAGACACCTCCACTCAGGATGGAAGAGACAGACCTTTAGGCCCCAGCAACACAAGTTACGTATTTTCGTGTCATGCGCTCACACTCACTGGGGTAACTTAGGACCAGGCCACTGGGGCAGACAAGGCACAGGCCCAGCCTCTGGGGAACTCAGGGTTTTACAGGAGAGGAATGGCAGAAATGTAAAGAAGGATCATCCAGCATGTGGTTGCTATGGAGATGGGGCACTCAAAAGATGACAGGCAGCATTTATTCATCGTCCTCCTGTGTGAAGCCAGCCTTCGTAATCGATACTGGGAGGTGCCCGATCACAATACACTCTGCTCTAAGAAACGGAAGTCTGACAAACGACTTCAGGAAGTCCGGGGAGGCCAGTTGAGGGCTGGAATGGCAGCCAGACTTGTCCTCCGCCCCTGCCATCCTTATTGGGGCACGCGCAGGCATCACTTCTTCATCCAGGAAGGAGCTAAAGGTGATGATCTTATATGGTCCAGTTTCCCCAGAAGCCCCGGAGCTGGCCCTCCAAACTGCAGGGGCTTTGGGGGCGATGAGCTAGCTTCAGCTGGGAACACGACCCTGCAAGCCCTCCGTGGGTGCACAGCAGAGCCAAAGTGCATACCCAGGCTGTCTTCCTCCTGGCGGTGGGGTGGGGGGGTCTAAGGCCACTGATCCATCACCGCCCAGGTCTGGGGTGTAAGTAATAGCAGGGGAGGGCACGGCCCCTCTGTCCTTGATCTTCACAGGTTCCAAATCTAGTCACGTTCTGGGGAATGCAGGTTGCAGGGACAGGCCACTTTCTGGGCCTGGTTTCTACAGCGGGCGGGCTTTCCTAGTGCCTTTAGCAAAGGAGTCAGGATCAAATTCTCTCTGGAAGAAATGACTGGAAATCAGCTTCGCTTAGGCGGGTCACCCCATCTCTGGGGAAGCCCAAACAGCCCAGGTCCTGAACAAATGCACAGCCAAGCACCCTACCCAGCAAGCACAGGCGGTGGCAGCCTGACCAGCTCAGAGGAGGCAGCTGGACGCCCACAGGAACCCACCTGGCAGCGCCTCTCCACCCAAAGACAGGAAATAAAGGTCAGCTGCCCCACCTTACGTTTGGGAAGAGTTATTGGAAAGACAGAGGGAGGGGACAGTTTCCAAGGAGGTTAACTGGGAAAAATGAAAGCAACTGAAATTTGGGCAGACACTAGGTGAACTTCTAAAATGTACTATCAGAGAGGGGCATGGACAGGAAAGGACAGGGAGCCAGGAAGCGTGTCCCGTTACCCTCATCTCCCTTCCTCCAGGGGCTCCCTTAGGGTCCCCTCAGCCAGCAGAGCTGACCACTGCCCCTCACCAAGGCCCCGCGACTCTCTCCCTGTCAACCAGAAGAGAAGTGGGGTGGAAAGGGCAGGTCCCAGCCGAGCTGGGCTCCGAGCAGGTGAAGCACAGCTCTGGCGGCCGTCTCCCTTCCGGCCCTGCCGCCTCTGCAGCCCCCTCCTCCAGCTCCCCAAGTGGCACAGGGGCCTGTGTGGTCCTCGCCTCCCCAGGTCCCTGCTAGCCCCCTGCCCTGGGGAGCAGACTCCACCTCTACACTAAGAAATGGGGGTCAGTACTCATGTCAACAGCAAAAACAGGTCAAAGTCATCCCACAAGTCACCGAAACCTGTATCCCGGTCACTGCTTCTTAGCTGCCAGGGCTGGGTGCCTGCACGGCTCCCTGTCTCCCTAGGGTGCGAGAAGCAGGATGCCAACCCCAGAGGCGAGAGGCTGCTCCACGTGGCTGCTCTCAGGCACCCACGCCACCCACCACCAGCCCGCAACGGCCTCCCCCTCAGAGCTGCTCCAGGCCTTTATTACAGGACTTGCTCAGACACACACACCCTTCACGAACTTGTCTTGCAGTGTGATGGGGGGCAGCCCCCGACCCCGGCGGCCGAGGGGTGTGGTGGGTGTGGAGGGAGGTTGCTGTAGAAAGAACTTTGGGAACTCTAGCTGGAGGAGACACTCAGAGACCAACGCGGAGGCCTCAGGCAGTGCCAGTCACTCAGGCCTCGCCAGGGAGGAGGACAGAGGTCCTTGGGGGCCTGGCCTTCACAGCACCTGGCAGAACTTAAGCAAAAAAGGCTCATTCTCCCAACTAAAGTGGGGTGAGGGGCGGTAGCAACAGAGAAGCCCCGGGGTGGCTGTGGGGAAGGCTCAGTCGTCTGTCTCCTGTTTGATGTTCTCGATGGGAACAGGCAGCTCTGGACTCGGGGCTTTGTCAGGTGTGGCCATGTCTAGATGCTCTTCCTTCACACGCACAGCAATGACTAAAGAGGAAGGGAGGTGGGGAGGGCGGGGAGAACAGAGTGAGTGTGCGTGAAACTCGGGAAGGGCAGGGGGCTCAGGCTCTGGCTCCCTATGAAGGGGGGCCCTCAGGAAGTGGCGGGGAGGCGGGAATGGCGCCTTGCCCCTGCGGGGCGGGCCGCAGAGATGGAGAGGGCCCGGCTGGAGGTGTGCGGCTCCGTTCAGAGTCGGGGGTGGGTGTTTGGGAAGCTCTCCAGGCCCAGTGGTCCAACAAGGACTGCTGGGTGCCCAGAGAAGTCCCTTCACACTTGACTCTCCTCTTCTGTGCCCAGGTGGGGAAGGAGAAGGGCCGCCTCTGAGCACTGGCGCAGGCCGGCCCTGCCTTGATCCCGCCCGGGAGGCTCTTACTCTCTTCAGGAACAGGCTCCGATGAGATCTTCTCGGCGGCCTGCAGGTCGTCCTCCAGCAGGGGCTTCTTGGACCCCTGTCTGAGGGGCCGGGTCTTGCTCGGTGGTATTCTTTTCCCTTTGAATAAAAACAGAATTAAACCCAGCACAAGGCGGTATCCACGTGCGGCTTGAAGGCTGGGTCTCAGCCAGCGGCGAGCAGGGGCGGTGACATCAGAAGAGCCAATCTGGGGGAACCAAGGGCCTGAACGCTGACGCTGCCCCTCAGAGCTGTGTGCCCAAGGCTCAGAGAGGCTCTCTCCAGTAGGGGGTTAACACCACCCCGTCCTGCTTGCGGAGCTTCCTTCCCTCTTCCGGTCTTTCCTTCCTTCACCTGTGAAGTGACTTTCGCAGCCCCACTACTGTGAACAGTACAGGGTCTTCCCATGTGATCAAACCCAAACCCTCATACGACCTTAATCCCACCCAGGGTCCCCGTCTGTTTCCTCCTTATTTCTGGACAACCTCTTCTGTGTATGGTGCCACATCATGGAGACAACCTCATGGCCACACGCCAGCGGCTCTGAAGGATGGCTTTACCTTCTCTCCTCCCTACCCCGCCCCACCTGCTGTCCCCTCAAGCTGAGCCCACACAGGGTTCAGGATCTGTTAAGAGTGGGGTCTCGCCTAAGGAGATGACACCAAAGTTCAGTGGCTGCCCTCTCATCCCTGAGTGTCACAAGGGAAGAATGACAGGCTTGGGGAGAAACCGCCACCCCCTCCATACCTCATACTTTCAAACAGCCGACGGGGTTGCAGCGACTCTGACCACATGGCAGCAGAGATGGGGATCCCTCCCCCCTTTCTCGCTTATAATTACAATCTCTTGCCTTTTTTCCTCGCCATCCTGACCAGTGCCAGAGACTGAAGACTCCCTGTGTGTCCTCAGGTCCCTTAAGACATAGGCTGACAGGTATGTTGGGGCCAAAGGGCAAGGAAGAGGAGATGGAGGGATCGAGAAGAGTGCTACCTAAGTGGTGACTCCTGCTCTACGTCCAGGGACACAGGCCCAGCTGGTCCCAGGCCCCACACCAGCCCCGCCTGCTTTAGTGCATCACTTACTTTTCTTCCCAAACTGTTTCTTTTTCTTCTTCGTGGCCTCTTTGGCCTTCAGAGGTGTGGTCGGCTCTGTTAAAAGATGAGAGTAAGAGGTAAGAAGAGAGTTCTAAGAGAACAAGGTATAGGCACGTCCCAAGACCCCCTGCCCACCCCTCACTTGCCTCCCCTACACATGGGACACCCCAAGAAGGAAAGCCAAAGTTGGGCAATGAGAATGGGGGAGGGACTGGAGAGCAGCTGTCCCTTCTTCCCATCCTCGTCACCAGGGCTGCTCCGAGGGACCTGGGAGGTTTACCTGTGTGCACAAGGGCACGAGCATATGACAGAGTGGGCAAGATCAAGGAAGGCGCTCTGCAGGCCAGAGGGAGAGGAAGACAGAGAAGTCAGGAGCGGGAGGTGGGGACACAAGGGCCACTCTAGTTAGAAGTGGTCCAGGAGACTTCTCGATCTCATGCCAAAGAATGAGGTAGGCACGGGGCAGTGGGAGTGGTTGGCAGGAAGGAAAAAGGAAAGCAACGTCAAGAGCCTCTTGGGGCCGCGAGAGCCCAGACCTGCGGCCACTGGTGGCTGGAGCTGGTAGCCGGTGAGCTCACACCAGCCGACGGGGTAGATGTCCGGAGACTCACAGTCCACCCACTGGTCGTATTCGCTGTCCCAGCCGTCAAAGTGGATGCTGAGGAGCCTATGCACCACCCGCTTCACCGTGGCCACGCAGATGAGCCGGGGTTCCATCAGGTCCACGGCCTCCAGCTTCATGCCCACCTTGAAGCCGTGGTTGGGGCAGTCCTAGGGACGGAAGGAAGCAGCAGTGACCATGGCCAGCTCCCGGCCCCGGTGGGGCACAACTGGGGAGAGGCAATGGGCTGGGAGCGCCTGTGGGGAAGGGTCCCTTGACAGTGATCCCGCTGCCCTCTGCTCCCAAGCACCAGTCCCTCCGGGAAAGGGACCGGCTCGACTGTTAGGTAGAATGCCTATGGCAGAGTTTGGGACTTCTCCCCAGAAGTGGCTGGTCTCCGCAGTACTGACTCGAGGGAAGAGAAGGGGGTTGGAATTAACACCCCGAGAGCAGGCAGGGCCACCCAGGCCCCGTGCTTCCTCAATTTCCTTACCATGTTAAAGAGTCTTGATGGAGCTGCTTTTGACTTGGTCTTCTCCAAGTAGGTGTCCCAGCTGAAAGTGTGTGATTCGTAGCCTGGAGAAGCAGAAAGTATAAACGTGGAGGGAAAGGAGGGGAGGCAGGAGGGAATCCAAGAAAGGAGCACATGCCAAAGGGGCACCTGCAACTGGATCAGGACCCAGTCTGGAGTCTCCCCAGCAGCCTTCTTCTCTCCTCCCCGGACTGGTACCTGCTCTAGGACCATGGTCCTGTTGTACAGGTTGTTCACTGCCCAAAGGAACAGTTGGAGCTCTGCTCACCAAACCACACACTAGTCATAGAGCCCGGTCAGCCCAGTGTAAGGGCTGGTAGTGTTGGCCTTGGGTGGCTCAGACACCTTTCCAATCCACTCTGAGACTCCAAGCCCCAGGGTCTGGCTTGGCCAGGAATCTGGGCCTGTGGCCACACTCTACCCTTTCTGACTGTAAGGCCGGTCTTACCTTTAGGTGGTGTGAGCTCAATGTCATTCTTTTGGCAGAAGGTAGCTGGGAAGATAGCGTGGGAGGAGGCATGGTAACAGAACCAGTCTGAGCCATCTGTGGAAGGTCCCCCGTCCACACAGATCATGAGGTAGCCGTCCAGGAGAACCTGGCAGGTGGGGAGAAGGCAGACACCACGGTATCATGAGCTATACCCCCATCCAAGGGGCGGGTGGCTAGAGAGCTGGCAGATCAGCGGTGTGCGGAGAGCTAGATCTCGGCCTTCCCCGAGCTTCTGCTTTGGAGCACTCAGCGCCCCTGTAACCCGTACGTGTGACGTTATTTACCTTCCTCACTGGACAGCAAATGCTGTTCCTGCAGGGACTACATCTTTTTGCCAGTGTTTTCAGTGATGAGCACACGGGCCCAGCCTGGAGAAGTCTGGCTGGATGGACAAATCAGCATGTCCCCCGGGGGCCATTTGCTCCTCAGGTTGCAGCAATAACGTACAGTGTGCAGCAAAGTCAGCATGGCTGTGGCTCCAGCCCTCAGAGGAGAGGACACGAGGCAGCAGAAAGGCCTCCAGGGAGGCTGACGGCGCGGGGCCTACACCTGACACAGGACCAGGCTCGGGCCAGGTGTTCAATAAGCACCTGTCCATTGTGCCTCGGACCCGACACGAAAGCAGATGTTGAGCAAGGAGCAGATGAGCCCTCTCCTCACAAAAGTCCGGTACTCCAGGAGCAGCCGGAGTGGGGAAGGTGTGCAGAGCTCGGAGCCTCCTCAAAGGCTTCAGAAAACCGCACTAGAGGCTGTAGGGTCGGGCCCAGGCTCACCTTGCAGATGGTTGCCACGCAGATGTTGCCCAGATTCAGGGGGTCAATGGCTTCCAGTTTCATCCCTTCCTCAAACCAACCACCTTCCGTGTAGACAGCTCGAACCTTAAAGGAACGGGGCAGCTGGGGAATCTCTGGGTGGTCCAGGTGGAGGGTGGGGGAGCAGGCCTCACCTGCCATAGGCTTGGGAAGGAGACGGGGGAAGGAAAGGAACATCCCAGGGTCCCAAGGTCTGGAATGGACCTACGGACAAGATGGAAAGTCTCCAAGGGCTGTGCCTCACCTTCTTGAACAGGTAAGGAACAGCATCACAGTAGATTTTCCGGAAGGTGGGATGGTGGGCCATGTCACTGCGCCTCTCTTTTGGGAGCAAGGGAGAGAAGGGAGTTGAAGGCTGCCAACAGGGCCACCTCCATACTATCCCCAGAAATGTGGAGATTGCCCTGCATATGCTCTAACCTGTATCTCAGCACCCCCTACCTGCCTATCCCCCCAGACCAGAAGACGGAAAACATCAGGAGCTCTCTGTAGGGACTACTGAACCCTTCAGATCCAGATGCTTCCCACATCACGTGGGAGAGGATGGGGTCTGCAGCCTCTGGGTTCAGATCGATCATACCACTTACAAGCTGAGTGACCTTGGTCAAATCACCCAACCTCTCTGGACCTTGTTATCACCAACTACATGATAGAAATGCTCACCTCTACCACAGAGGATTGTTGTGGGGTATAGAGATGCTCCTACCTAGGACCTGGGGCAGCAGAACCCGTGTCACGCTGGCCTGGGGCTCTGCTAACCTGAAAGCTTGATGCCATGGCCAACGCGCCGTGACCAACCCACTGGGTGGATCAGGGGGCTCCACATGTGGCACCAGAAGTCGTCATCGCTGTCGCCATCCTCATAGAGGAGCCGAAGGCGACCCCCAATTACTGTGTCCACAACGGCCATGCGGGTCCGTGACACCTGGGCCTTGTCCACCACCTCCAGCCGCATGCCTTGCCGAAAAGGGTACTTCATGCTCTCCACCATCTGCAACATCAGAACACAGGCCTGCTGTGGTCTTGGGGACCCTCCCCCCTGCCCCCACCTTCCTGTTCTGTCTCTTAAAAGTAACCAGAGATCAGGGAAGGTGTGAAAACCACACTCAACACTAAGTCAAGGAAGTGTGCAGATGAGCCTTCCCTTCCCACCAAATTCAACCCTTGTGGGACGGGAACGCCAATTGGAACCCTAATTCCCCAGAATGATACCGAAGAGCAGCACACAGCTTACAACATATGCACCAAGAGGCCAGTCAGTCAATATGATGGCAATTACGAGATCCGTTTCAGACTAAGGCAACGGGTACCCCAGAGAGCTCAGGTGACTTAGCCGCACTTACCCAGAGCCATTGGTGCCATAGCTGAGCCTTGCAACTGTCCTAGGGTCCAGACTTGTGCTCTTTCCCACTTCCTGCCACCCCTGGGCAGATGGCACATACTACACTCATGTCCAGAGCCCTGTGTCTCCAAATGTCAAATTATAGCTCTGAACTCCCTGGGCTGCTGTTCTGAACGGCTTTCCTACTCTGACCCAGCAAGGGATGGGGACCAAAATACCCACAGCTGTCCTTAGTGCCCTGATGGCAGGCCACGGATAAGGGGTAGGAGATTCTCTTGGTTCACTGTGACTTTGATGCTGGCCTGCCTGGGGCAGGGAAATGGGACCAGTGAGCTCCATAGGGCTTTTCCAGCCCCACCCAGCCTAGCCCTGGTGTGGGCTGAGTAGTGCGATTTCAAAGCCCACCAGGAGGGGGAGCACCTCAGTGATCACAAAGCAGCCACCAGGAAAAGCGGACAGTCCTACACCACAGACCCTTCAGCCCTCCCCCTCAAGGCCTGGAACACCCCCAGACGGACTGCCTGACTGGCTCATTTAGGAGACTCAGGTGAGGCCTGGGTTGGGGTCCCCTGGGTTACCTCCCCCTCCTAGCCCTTCCCGTCATTCCTTTCTTTTGCACCCACCCAGCGCAGCCCACAGCCCAATACCACCTCGGTGCCCCTTTTGGTTAGTGACACCCAGAACTTGAGCCCAGTAGGGGCAGAAGTCGGGTTTGGTAGAATTCATTTCTACCTCCTCGGCTCCATGCACACAACTAGGCACAGAGTTAGTGCTCAGTTAATGTTTTTTTCTCGCCTGACAAAACATGTACACACCCTTGGCCTTGGCTGGCGGGTCTTTCATTCAAGACACTGTACTCAGCATTTCATTCAAAACATTGTACTCCGGCCCTTATCATATTGCGGGCATCCACGGAACTGGACTGGATGTGGATCAGGGATTCATTTACAAACCCACCCCCTTTATCCTACTTGCTGCCAAACCTCAGAGGCAGCTGCTTCCGTATCCACTGCAGGATTGGGTATGTGACACCTAGTCACTATGTGCTTCCTGACCAGTTCACATGGAACCATGCTCTGCCACTGAGAAATCAAGCTCATTTTAGTTTGAGCAGAGAACAGGCCACCTTGATGACACTAGTGGCCCGCACCACCCACGATCATCTGCCTTGCCTTCAGACAAAGGCTAGCTGAGTGAATTTCAAATGTCGAATCCATCACCCATGCAAGGCATTCTGAGAAGCAGAGGAGACAAAGCTTATGGTTTTGGAAAGGGGATATGAAAAGATAAATTAGCAAAATACAGAGAAATAAAGAGCAAATGGATGGTACCCAACAAGATCAAATAAAGGAAAATTCATTTCTACTTTAGGAAAAAAGCCAGCGAATGCTTCCTTGAGCTGCTGGAACCATTCCTTACCAAAGGCCCACTCTCCACCAGCCAGGCGGTGGCAACCTCTTCACCAGGGGTCCGGTACCTTGGATGAGATGGGCCCAACTTCTATTCCTTCCCTATTTTCAGCTGTTGGCTTCCATACCACCCACACCCTACCCATCAGGGTAGAATTCAAATGCCTTTTCTCCATGAAGACTTCCTTGATACAAGGCCAGTTTAGCCATGTGTCACGGCAGCACCTGCTCTGCGTCCCCCTGCTCACTGCTGTGAAGCTTACCACGGCAAGGTGGGAAATGCACCTGTGAGCACTGACCAGGAGCCTCAGAGGCAGCCCAAGCCCCTATGCGAGCGAGCCCCACAACAGGAGGTCTGGCATACAGAGGTGGGAGACACTAAGTCTCCACCATGAATCCTGTACTCCCTTTGAATTTTTACCATGTGTGTGATTTTTTAAGTTAACTAAATTTTTAAAAATTAAAATCAAAAGCCACAGCGATGATTTGGAGGCACACCTCCGGTTCATAATCAAGGCTATTTATAATTATTTCTGTGCTTAGAGGTGCCTGGCTGGGTCAGTCGACAGAGCATGTGACTTCTGATCTCAGGGTTGTGAGTTCGAGCCTCACGTTGGGTGTAGAGATGACTTAAACTTAAAAAATGTAAAAAACTGGGAAGGGAGAGAGCAACCAACATCCTTCCTTGAGAAACGGGAAGCTGGTGGGGCGCTTGGGTGGCTCAAAGTGTCCGACTTTGGCTCAGGTCACAATCTCACGGTTCATGGGTTCAAGCCCTGCATCGGATTCTATGCTGACAGCTCAGAGCCTGGAGCCTGCTTCAGATTCTGTGTGTCTCTCTTTGCCCCTCCCCAGCTCACACTCTGTCTGTCTTTCTCTCTCCCAAAAGTAAATAAACATTGAAAAAATTAAAACAACAACAAAAGAAACATGAAGCTGCTAAAAACTGTCAAGCAAGGGAGTCTTTGGGAAAATACTCCAGTGAGTAGCATGGACAGAGAAAATGGGAGAGGGGCAGGAAGGAGATCAGTTAGGAGACCCCAAGGACTCACTGCCAGACCTTGATATGGAAATCCACAGGAAGCGTCCTGGAGCCCACCAACCGTTTCATGAGGTACCCCTTCCAGTCGGTGAACTTGGCATGGATGGCTGTGGAGACACAGCAGAATCCTCGTTACAAAGCCTGGCAACACTCCCGCCAACAGGGGGTGCCAGAGCAACTGATTTCTGCCTCTTCAGGCCAGCAATCACATGTTTAAAACCCGCTGTACCACCTGTCTGCCCCGGGGCCTCTGGAACTGGGGAGGACAGGCAGCAGGCTGGCAAGTGAGTTCTGCTCTGGTCTAACCTAAGACAAAAGTGCCCCCTTCTACCATGGGCTCTGCAGGAACCAGGACAGGGAATGTTCTCATCAACTCACTCCGCGGGGGCACCAGGATCTTGCTGTTGATGGCACACCAGCCAATGGGGTGGACATCCACCGTTCCCAGGTTGCACCAGAAGTCATGGCTGGCGTCATTCTCAAAGCCCTCATACCGGAGCAGCACCCGGTACCCTGAAAGAAGGAAAGGGCACCAATGAGGAAGAGTGGGATGGGGAAAGGTATATTCTCAGGCCTTCCCTCTTTTCCAGCCTAAACTGACTCCTATTCCAAGAACTCCTTCCAGGCAAGTGGGGTCCCTGTTGTCCACAACGGTCACAGCCAAAACAAACCCATGTCATGTCCTGGGAAAGCAGTATGGCACCGCATGAGAGTTAATTTTTTATAGCCTGATTGTTCCTGGGAAAAAACTTAAAAGGGGGAGTTTCTAAACTTGCCATGCTTTGTGGCCTCCTGGAAGCCAAGAAGGGAGGCAGAAACTCCAGTGGGTGGGCTTTGTGTTTGATGCAGCCAACCTCTGCTTGCAACACTGCCCCCCCCCCCCCGCCATATGGGGATGTCAGTCTTCAAACTCAGACCCTGCCTTGGCCAGAGGAATACCCACCTGCGGCCTGAATGACAGAGGCAATCCAGTACACCCGGCTGGGGAGCACAGCGTCGCTATTGAGCACCTCCACCTTCATCCCCTTCATCACGTCCTCCCACTGGTCATACAGTGGGACCTGTGTGGGCACAAGAGCATTGGGGGGGGGCGGACAGTGAGCTGCCTGAGCAGACAGGGAAGAGTGGCTGGCCTCATGAGTCATTGTGGCCTTCTCTGCCCCTCAACTTCTCACATCACTCACTGTCACTCCAAGCCAGGCATGGGACTAGGGATGAAGAGATGAGCAAAACGAGTCCACTGTCCTCAAAGAGCTGATTCAGGGCATGGGGTGGGGGCGATGGGAGGGGAGGGCCGGTGCAGTGGTCACACATCCAGAGTCATCCCCAAATACTGATCTTTACAGGACTGCCTCCTCACTGTATCATCCTGGGCATAGCACACCTGTGACAGTTTGTGTGCCAGTGATGACACCTCCTAGCGCTCGCCACATCGCAGTGCCAGCGAGGCACTGTCCTTGGCACAAATACCACCTCTTTCAATCCTCACTCAAGCCTGGTCAGTAGTGTCTCAGCTATCACCATGCTGGCTCTCACAGTGGTCTACTCACACACTATTTCTGGCACATTCTTTTTCTACCTCTCTAACCCATCTTCTCCTCTTCAGATGCTCTCCATCAGCAGCGGACCATTTTTGTTGGCTTTTCCCTGATATCTAAACCTCACTTTGAACCAAGAGCATCTTGATTCTCCTTTGGAGAAATTCACCGTTTTTTCATTCTCAGCCCTGGCTTAAACTATTCGGGGTATCCCATTCTACCTCTCTGGCCAGAGAATGGGTCTGTCACAGAATCTAGAAACCTTTATGCTACCCAGGCGCAAAGGGGCCGGCCTGGCAGAGCTTATCAAATCCAGTGTGTTGAGTGCAATTGTGACAGAATTCCCCTGCAGTGAAAACTCAGGGCAAAAAAGCTTCCTACTAAGGAAGGTGTGAGTCTTGGACTAGAGTGAGACTAGCATGGGACTAGAGTGAGACTAGAGTGAGACTTTCCCACTGTCCCATGTCCACGGCACTCCACCCGGAGTCCAGGAGCTGCTAGGATGTGACTCTGGTCAGAGGACTCCACGAGTCAAGAGGCCTCCTCCTTGACTTCCTGGGTGTTAGCAAACTGGCTTGAAACACCAAAGGAGAGCGTGGCTCTAGGCGGCTCCCTGGCCCGCAGGCTACCACAGGCTACACGTGCTGCCTGCGCTTCCACTCCAGGCCTAGCACCCCACCCCTCCTCCTGGCCTCACTCTACTGGGGCTTCTCTGTGCTGAAATGGGCTCCAGGAGGCATCCACATCTGCCTCCCAGGAACCCGGGGGCTCAGGGCAGTCCAGAAGCACCAAGCTTTCAATGGGAAAACACGAACACAGGGGAAAACAGAAGGAAAGGACTTCTAGCACGAAGTTCCAGTACGTAAACAAGCAGAGTGAGGACCTCAGAGAGGAAGCGCAGTGCTAGAAGGCCTCAGTGAGGGTTTGTGGGAGGACTCTGAAAAAAGGTAGACAGAAAGGGAAACCGGAGCAAGTGGCAAAGTTGGACTGCGCCCACCCAGACCTCATCACTGTTCGCTCTCTGGTGCCAGTGCCCAGCTTGGAACGCTTATGAGGCTGGCGGGTGAGACAGGTGGCGAGCACCCGAGTTCCCGGCTTGCTCCCCTGCCCCCCATCTCCAGGACACTCACATGCTTAAAACAGCTGACAGGAGCAGCTTTGTAACTGTGATCCTTCAGGAACTTCCCCCAGTCGAAACCCAAGACCAGCGCTGCAGAGCAGAAAGAGAAGAGTTGGAACCTGACGCCCAGGAGCCATAGAAGCAGGTCCTTCCTCACCCAGGCAGCCCCATACCTGCCCCACTGGTGGCCATCAGAACAGGCCTGGACCTTATCCAAAGGGTGACAGACTCTCAGGAGTAGAGGAAGCATTCAGGGGGAAATGTCTGATCTTTCTTCCCCGGAAAAGACAAGGAAATTCAAAGGCCTTTGGGCTTAAATTCTTTAGACCTCCCTCAACCTCTCATTGGTCACAGCCGATTGGAATGGATGGGAGGGGCACACACGTAGGCCCCTCCAACCCTTGTGGGTCTAGAGCTCAGCTACAGCCAAAAACAGACCACCTAGAGCAGAGTTGCTTATTGCCTGCACGCTTAGAAACTGCTGCGCACACTCAGGTTACTTTCCTTATCCCGCCACCCCTCTCCAAACCAGACAGGGGTCTCCACTGCCCATGGGACACAGAAGCCACAGGGCTAAGAGCGATACAAAAGAAAAACAGCAAATTCTGGGTTTCTGAACTATCAAGAGTAGGGGTCCTAGTACTTCAGAAGTGACTAAAGGGATTTTCTGGGGTAATTTGCACAATCCCTACCAAATAGGGAAGATGGCAGTCCACAGTGAGCCTGGGGCAGGCCACTCTGTAGCTGTCCTTTTTTCCCATTCCCGGCTCCTAGGCAGGGCCAGCCCAGGCCTGGCACCCCATTCCCAACCCCTTGGCAGCTTCTGAGCACCAGTGTTCTGCTGTCTTACCATCTTGCCCAGTTGGCGTCCCATCTGCCAGCTGTCCTGTCCCTTGGGAGTGGAGGAAGGCTCCAATTTTGGCAGACCAGGCCGCCTTGTGGAGGACTTTGGCTTTCTTGGTAGGTGGTTTTCCCTGGAGGGAGGAGAGCACGTGGGTAGCCTAATGGCTGAGAATGGAGTGCTGGATCTGGAAGGTCTGGGTTTAAATCCTGGGATTCAGTCCCTCAACCTCTTCAGTTCCTTCATTTGTAAATCAAGTGCATAACAATAACAATGCTTGGCTCAAAGGGGGGCTGCAAGGATGTGAGTTACTGTCTGATGCCTGGCATTCAGTAAGTGCTTAGCTATTGTTCAAATGCGGAGGCATAGGTCACTTGGAGCTACAGGGCAGGGAGGGACACTTGTATCTTTTCTGTCTTTTAAGCCTTTGTTTCCTCCAGGGACTTTTCCCAGTGGCTTCAACTCTCAGCCATCTCCTTCATCAGGTGCTCCCACAGATTTATGGCAGACAGTGGGCTTCACAGAGGTCTAGGAGGCAACATTTTGTACACATATGGGAATGTTCTAGAGCAGGTCTGTGGCTTTCATCAGATGCTCCACGGGGCCTCCCCAAGAGTGAAAGGCCACTAATCTAGTCTACAGCTTGTAACTTAAGCACTGATCAGAAAGGCCCAGAGAATTTATTTTAAAAAATCAGTGAAATAAAAATGTGAGTTTACACAGACCTGGGGAAAAGTCCTGGCTCTTCAATTTGTAACTTCTTTGAGTAAGTTACTAAAAATTTTTGAGCCTTTAAAAAAATTTTTTTTAACGTTTATTCATTTTTGAGAGACAGAGAGAGACAGAGTGCAAGCAGGGGTGGGGCAGAGACAGAGGGAGACACAGAATCCAAATCAGGCTCCAGGCTCTGAGCTGTCAGCACAGGGCCCGAAGCAGGGCTTGAACTCACGAACCGCGAGATCATGACCTGAACTTAAGTCGGACACTTAACCGACTGAGCCACCTGGGCGACCCTTTTGAGCCTTTAAAATAGGAATTTAAGGGGCACCTTTGTGGCTCAGTCGGTTAAGTGTCTGACACTTGATTTCAGCTCAGGTCATGATCTCACGGTTTGTGAGACTGAGCCCCATGCTAGGAGCCTGCTTGGGATTCTCTCTCCCTCTCCCTCTGCCCCTCCCCCTGCTTGCTCAAAATAAATAAACATTAAAAAAAAGATTAATAGGGGCACCTGGGTGGCTCAGTCCGTTAAATGTCTGACTTCTACTCTGTGCTGGCAGTGTGGAGCCTGCCTCGGATTCTGTCTCCTTTTCTCTGCCCCTACCCCGCTCGCACTCTGTCTCTCAAAAATAAATAAATGTTAAAAAATAATAATAAAATAGGAATTTTTAAAAAAATAATAAAAAAATTAAATAAAATAGGAATTTAAGGGGCATCTGGCTGGCTCAGTAAGTACAGCATGCAACTCTTGATCTTGGAGTTGTAAGTTCAAGCCCCATGTTTGGTGTAGGGATTTCTCTGGGGAAAAAAATCTTAAAAAAATAAAATAGGAAACTTTAAAAATTCATTTTTAAGAGAGCATTGATTGGTTGGATTCAGTTAGCAAGTATCCCTGAATTGTAGCTATTAACAATACTATTTATTAGGTCACTGAGGAGAGAGATTTTTCTATGCCCTAACTAAAATCTACACAGTGAGGGAAACAACAATGATTATGCACAAAAGTGAGAGATAAAGTATACAGAAGCACAAAGCAGGAGACATGGTCTACTGTGACTTTCAATAAATGTCTCAAACTTTGCTGCACATGACAATTACCTGGGTGGGGCTCTTTAAAATTTTTTTTTTTTTTTTTCAACGTTTATTTATTTTTGGGACAGAGAGAGACAGAGCATGAACGGGGGAGGGGCAGAGAGAGAGGGAGACACAGAATCGGAAACAGGCTCCAGGCTCTGAGCCATCAGCCCAGAGCCTGACGCGGGGCTCGAACTCACGGACCGCGAGATCGTGACCTGGCTGAAGTCGGATGCTTAACCGACTGCGCCACCCAGGCGCCCCGGGTGGGGCTCTTTAAAGCCCCTATGTCCAGGGGGCACCTGGCTGGCTAGGGTGGTAGAGGCAGTGCATGAGACTCTTATCTCAGGGTTAGGAATTAGAGACCCATGTTGGGTGCAGATTACTTAAAACAACAACAACAATAATAATAATAATTATAAAGCCCATGTGTCCAGGCCACACTCCATCCCAATTAAATGAGAATCTTTGGGAGTAAGACCAAGCATCAATATTTTGTTACTACTTCTTTTAAAGCTTGTTTATTTATTTTTTTTTTAGTAATCTCTACACCCAATGTGGGGCTTGAACTCATGAACCCGAGATCAAAAGTTGCACCAAACATTAATATTTTAAACACTCTCCAGGTGATCCCAACGTGCAGGCAAGGTGTGAGCACCGGTGTCATGGACGGTGGCCATAGTTACCAGGACACAACACAACGTTAGGCGCCTGAGAGCACATTCCAGTCCCAGTTCTGCTGCTCCCCCAACAGAACCACCTTAGGTAAGTCCCTCTTCCTCTCTGAACCTCAGCACACTTCTCAACTAATGTGTGGGTGAGACAACACATCTCTTTGAGAATGCTTCCATTTATAAAACTTCTATGAATGTCAATAATTAACTAAAGATTAGTAAGACTTTCTAGGTGGCTGCCTATGACATGGAATCAGAGACCAGGCATCAACTTCCTAAACCCACCGTGGCTGGTAAATGTATGCCTGTCTCCTAATTTCCTTTCAGAGCATTTATAAAGGTATGGGGCGGGGGCACCTGCGTAGCTCAGCTGGTTAAGCATCTGACTCTTGATTTTGGCTCACGTCAGAATCTCACCATTCATGAGGTTAAGCCCGGCGTCAGGCTCTGCGCTGATAGCACAGGGCCTGCTTGGGATTCTCTCTGTCCCTCTCTCTCCCCCTCCCCTGCTCATGTCCTAGCTTTCTCAAAATAAACAAACTTTAAAAAAAAAAAAAAAGTATGAGGCAAAGACCAAAGGGCACCAGACTCCCCCAAGGCTCTTCTTTTCTTTAAAACTTACTAAAGGCATTAGACTCCTGGAGGCAGGGGAAGGTGGGGATTGAAGGGCACCTCTATTAGTGTGTAATTTACAGATTGATTCCCCTGCAGGCTAAATTTTGAGAGCATAATAAATAGCAGGAAGTTTACAACCTCAGACAGCCACAAGCAAACTCCTTCCAAAGCTCTCTTGGCCCCTTTGCCATCAGCCAGGTGGGTGTTCCTGTCTCAGCTCCCAGGGCCCCAGGAAAGGTCTTCCGAGTAACTGCCTCTTACCTGTAATCTGGCCAAGATACTGGCTTTCTTGGAGTTGGAGGAGTAGCTCCTAGAACAGGAGACGCTGCAGAATCTCTTAGTCTTGGAGAAGAAGGCTTCCCTTGTACCCACGATACCACACATCTCACAGACAGCTGGGAAGAGAACTTAGCATGTGACCCACCTGATACGGTCACCCCAGATCAAACAAAATGATGGGCCCTTCAAAACCCGAACAGCACGTTAACCAGGTGAATCCAAGCCCCCACTCAGACTGACAGGCCTGGAACAGGAGGAGGAGGTTTGTATACAACTGAATCTGCTTTGTCTGAGGTAAGCTGCCTGGCATCCCTCGGTTATATGTCAACAGTGGAGCTAAGGCAAATCCACAGGGCAACAGGTGAGTATTGGAAAGTTTGTAAAGAAGAAAATGAGAAGCTAAAATGCCATTAACTTCTGTGGGTATCTTTTCTTCTCATCTATACAGCCACTGAACTAGATCAATGTTTCACGCCTGACATCATATTAGAATCATCTGAGTAGCTTTAAAAATACCCAGCCTGAGATTCTAATTAACTGGTCTGTGGTGGGACAAAGGCATCTGTAGTCTGTTAAAACCTCCCCAGGTGATCCTAATGTACAGCCAGGCTAGAGAACACCTGAACTCCACAGTCTCTAATGGTTCTTTCTAGTTCCAAAGTTCTAAGATTCTAAAAGAATGGCTGGAAGAAGACAGAAGGGAGAATAAATAAATAAATAAATAAATAAATAAATAAATAAATAAATAAATAAGGCAGGGGTGGGGGTGGGAGAAGACTGGTAGAAAAGAAGAGTCAAGTGGCAGAGTATTAGAGTTTTCAGGCACCAAGGGACAGGACTATCCTCACAGACATCTAGCCTGTCTTCACAGGCAGTCCACACACTGGAGGCCCTGACACAGGGGTCCAGCATCTGTGTGAGAATCACAGCTCAGAAGGTAACTAGCTTCCAGATGATCCATGGGAACTGTCATCAGTAATCCTCTCCCTCGGGGGTCACTGGATTCTGTATTCCCCCCACACCTCACATCCAACCCACAAGCTATTCCTTGACCTTCCCCAGATAGTAATCAGAACATTTTAGGTGTTCTTCTCAACATCCAGGTTTAAAAATCAACCAGCTACTCACCCAAATGTAAAAGCACCTTATTAATGACTGGCATCTAATATGTTCCAAATAAATATAGTTGTAGGAAAGAACAAAGGAAATTGCAATTTGAAATCAGACTGCAGCAGAGGAAATACCCTTTGGGGCTACTTGGGGTACTTGTGTCTCTGTCACAGGCCCTCAGACATCAGAGCAAACGGCTCCTTACACCTGGATGGCTCTGCCCACGTGGCCTATGTCCCCCTGCCCACCCTTCCTCCATAGCCTCCTGAAACCTCCCCATCTTCAGGGGACACTCTCAAAGCACCTGGCTCAGAACCACTGCCATCCAAGGAGCGGGGAGTCCCAGGGCTGAGCAAATGCAGGGGAGAGGTGGGCAGCTCCCCTGCTTCCCGATCCTCATTTTCTGCTTCACTTGACTCCTCCAGATAGGAGCTGCTCTCGCTGCCCGCACTGCTGTTATAGCTCCGGAAACTGTCATAGCCACCAAAGAGCTCCAAATCGTCCTCCTCTTCCTCTTCCTCCTCCATAGGTTCTGAAGATGGAGCTTCCTAATGAAAGATACAAACCAGGCAGGAGAAATCAGGTCTGACTTAGTGTATGCAGAGGGAGGCTGCAGGTGGGCTCTCAGCTCCCTTTGCCAGTTCTTGGTCAAGTCAACACCTCTGAGCCAAGTGGCACGCAGAATCAAATACCCCTTTAGCAAACACCAGGCTCCTTACTCTTGTTTGTACAATTCTTAACCGCAACTCATCAGAATAGCTTAACGAGACAGTACGAATTAGGAATTTACCAAGCTCCTCCTGTGGATTCATAAATGATGACCTTTTAACATGACTCAAATAGAATACAATGATGTGAAAATACCCCAAATTATCTCGTAAAGACTTCCTGGGGAAGACATATATTGGAAAATCATTCTTCCCCCTTCAGCATATGTACACCAAAATAATCTCAATTCAGAAACCATTTCAGCCATAGAAAAGTTAATCTGGGATGCAGACTGCCTTAAGGAGGAATTGGGAAGCAGATGACACGCTAGTCTTAGCACAGTGGTATGTACCATAGCTCTGGACTCCGATCCTCACTAGCTGTGGGTCCTTGGGCAAGTCATTTAACCTCTGTGGGCCTCAACTTTCTCATCTATGAAATAAGAAACGTAGTTGGCGGACAGGATGCGAAATGTAAATGAGATCCTGCATATCAACCTGACTGGCATGTAGTAGAAGAGGTCGTAGGGCTCAAATACGGTCTCTACTGCTGACTACTATCTGTATGATCTGCAGCAAGTCAATCCCTCAGTGCATCAGTTCCCACACCTGTAAATGAGGGTAACACCACCTCTTTCAGAAGCTTTGCGGGATAAATAGGGGGAAGACAAGTACAGCACTCCAAACGGCTTACAAGTAGCAAGTGGTCAATACGCGTTGGCAGTCATTACTGGCTAAAAGCACGGGCCTTCAAAAACCAGATCTGCCTGGGTTTGGATCCCGTCTCTACCCGTCTCTGTTGACTGTGTGCAAGATATTGAACCTCGCTGCTCTCGGTTTCTTCATCAGGGCAACGGCGACAACACGCCTTCTTTAGAGGGCTGGTGTGAAGACTGACATATGCAAAGCCTAGTTCTGTTTCCAGCTGGTAGTGACAGCTCTACAAGCGCGAGCTATTATTCTTATTCTCCTTCACCCTCATAGAAGTTTTGGGCTATTCCGTTCTGGGTTTACAACTACACACGCCAACGTACTAGAAAAGAGGCCGCATTTAAATAGGAGGTGACCAGAAGCCAAAGGATTCAAGGGAGCGTGGGTTACAGGTTGGAGGAGAGCGGGGGAAGTTTCGGAGCCGGACAGACGGACTGAGTGCCCATGTCCTTCACTTGCCAGCTGTGTGGTCTTCCTGGGGAGTCACCACCTGTCTCTAAGCCTCGGCTACTTTAACCCTAACAACGAAACAGTAACACAGGATTGTTGTGAGTACACTAGGAGATCATGCACGTGAACGCTGCAGGCGCGGAGTTTTCATTAAACTTTCAAGCCCTTCACGTCCCCACAGGAGGTGACGGGCCTCCTAATCCCTAAAGAGACGACCCCGAGAGAGGGAGGACGAAGAATATTCAGGAGCTTGGAGATCCTGAACTCAGTTCCCTTTTCCCCCAGGCCGGGGAGGCAGTTCCGCCCTCAACCACTCGCCGGACGTGGGCCCCAGCAGTGTGGGGGCCAAAGGCCACGCCAATCGCCTCTGGCCCTGCTCAGCCTAACTACCTCAGTTTATCCATCCTTCCACTCTCCACCCTCCAGGCGTCGCTAAAAGGCCTAAAGAACGGTCGCCCGTGCGAGGCTCTCGGGGTTCCCTTTCCCAGTCGCGAGAAATCCTCTCCCTCTCACCTCGACGCCCCGGGTCTTCTCCATGAGACCTAACACCGTTTCTTCAACCGTCACCAGGTGCAGGAAGCCATATTGGCCTCGCGGCTCTACCCGAGCGCAGTCATTGGCCGCCTCCCAGGGCCGCGGGCCAATCACGCCCCAGGAAAAAGGATAAGCCGGTTCCGCGCTCACTCACGCCCCTGCCCCTGGGGGCGGGGAAGCCGCGGGCGCTTGTGGGACTTGTAGTTTCCCCGTGGGTGCGCGGAGAAGAGGGCGTTGCTATAGTGATATGAAAATCCCGGCCCGCTGGCTGTGCCGAAGCTGGGGCAGGCTTCCTTTCTCCACGCCAGCCCCCTCCTCTCACCCCTATCTCGTTCTTTATCAAACAGTTATTAAGCACGTAATATAGGTACTGTTCTAGGCACCAGGAATGACATCGCATTCTCCCTGATTAGAACTTTAAGGTGCCCTTGCGCCAGGATGACTAGTGGAGAGACTCATTTCCAAATCAGGCAGAAACTGTGCTATTCTTATGCCCAGTGCTATAAATGCTCAAACTCCCGCAACACTGTCCCTCTATCACCATTTCCTGAATAAACCTCGAATATGAGGCACTCTGCCTCACTCATTTTGGATGTCCCACAACCTCCTTAAACACTCAGAATTCTAGGGGCTGTTAGTATAGCTTTACAAACAGCTCAAATCTGAAGACAGGCCATCACCCTAAGAAAGGTGAAGCGGTGGCTCTTTCGGTATAGACCCTTTCCAGGATTACATAGGATTGGAATTTAAGGTTAGTCCAAATTATTTCCCTGTGCCATGCTGCGCTCTAATTAAGAATCTAAGGGGCATCTGGGTGGCTCCGTCAGTTAAGCGTCCAACTTTGGCTCAGGTCATGATCTTAACCATTCCCGAGTTTGAGCCCCGCATCGGGCTCTGTGCTGACAGTTCAGAGCCTGGAGCCTGCTTCAGATTCTGTGTCTCCATCTCTCGGCCCTTCCCCTGCTCATGCTCTGTGTCTCTCTGTCTCTCAGTAATAAATAAACATAAAAAAAAAAAAAAAAAAGAATCTAAACGTTGAGGCACCCTGGTTGGTTCAGTCAGAGCTGCATGGGACAGTTGATCTCTGGGTCATGGGCTTGAACCCCACGGTGGCTGCAGAGATTTGCTAGTAGAGATTATGAAAAATATGGGGCACATGGATGGCTCAGCCAGTTGAGCATGCACTCTTGATTTCACCTCAGGTCATGATCTCATGGTTCCTGAGATCAGGCTCTGTGCTGACAGTGAGGAGCCTGCTTGGAATTCCCTCTCTCTCTCTCTCTCTCTCTCTCTCTCTCTGTTGTTCCCCTGCTTGTGCACATGAGCGCTCTCCCTCTCTCTCTCAAAAATAAGTAAATAAACTTAAAAAAAAAAAGACGAAGGAAAAAAGAATCTAAATGTAGTAATTGGAGGCTAAATATATGTTAAAAATATCTCTAAACTGGAGGTCCACCACATTCATGTGAAAGCATTTCTTGATTTTTCCTTCCTTCAACCCCTTCTACCAGCAACCCCATATCCCTGCTGTCATCCAGCATTGTTGGTTCTCCATTCAGAATGTATCCTGTATCCCTCCACCACTATCCGCTGCAACAGACCTCCAACAGGCCCCTGCTTGAGTTTACACCTTCTTCAACCCACAGGTGACCTTTTAAAATCCTAAACCAGATCAAATTCATCCTCTTGCTTAAGGGGAAATGCAAGCTTCCCCTTGCACTTTGAATAAAATCCAAACATTCCACAAGACCCCGAATGACCTGGCCACAGCTTTCTCTTTTACTGCTGCCTGTGCGACCCTTTTACTGCACCCATCCACTCACTTTTTGCTCTTGACAGCCAAGCTCAAGTTCCCCTTGGGACCTTTTGCACTTCTCTTCTTTGTGTGGGACATTCTTTCGTGGCTCTTCTCATGGATGGCTCTTTATTTTTCAAATTCCAGCTCCAAGTCACCTCCTCAGGGACCTTATTTACTTATTTTAAATGCTTATTTTTGAGAGAAAGAGAGAGAGAGAAAGAGGGAGCACTAGCTGAGTAGGGGCAGAGACAGAAGGGGACAGAGGATCTGAAGTGGGCTCTATGCTGACAGCAGAGAGCCCAGTGTGGGGCTCGAACTCACAAACTGTGACATCATGACCTGAGTCACCCAGGAGCCCCTTCAGGGACTTTATTGTTATTATTATTTTTTAAAATTTTTAATGTTTATTTATTTTTGAGAGAGAGAGAGAGCATGAGTGGAGGAGGGCAGAGAGAGAGAGGGAGACACAGAATCCAAAGCAGGCTCCAGGCTCTGAGCTGTCAGCACAGAGCCCAAC